CAGTATATTCAGCCCTCAAGGCCCCACTGGGCCCTCTATCTAATAAAAGATCCTTAGTTCAAGGGGCTAATGGCAGTAAATATTGGGCTTGGACAACAAAGAGGACAATGGACCTAGGAAGGGGAAAAGTCCACCACTCTTTTCTAGTAATCTCAGAATGCCCAGCCCCATTAATGGGCAGGGACCTACTCAACAAGCTCTGGGCTAAAATAACCTTTAACCCTGATGGTCCCCATCAGGGTTAAAGGTTATTTTATGTGAAATTAGCATTGATTTTTAAAAATTGATTTGAGAATAAGCTGCAGACAGGATGCCTGATACACAAGATTTCACTGTACAGTGAAAAAAATTATGATACTTTTCTGACATAACCATAGTGTATCTATCAAAATCAATAAATTAACATTGATGAAATATGCTCTCTCTTTCTCTACTGAAAGGGACTAGAAGCGGTGACATCTCAATAGCAATGAGCTTACCTAGCTCCCAGATCTTGGTTTCTAAATATTAGTTTCCACCAAAAGGAACCAGGGATACTTGTAGAAATGTCTGACACTATGGCTGGGGAAGGGAAATGCCAGTTGAACCTGGAATACCGTCCTGTGCCAGCAAGTAAGACAGTGCAACAAAGAATGATGGGTACACATCAAAAGGACACATGAGCCATATTGAAGGGATCCTACTTGCCAAGTCTGGGACGATTTGAGAGTCAACATATATAATTTCACAATGCTACCAATTATAAAATAGGAATGCAGGAATCAATACAGATTAAATAAATAAATAAGCAAATGAATGGTGGTGAAGGAAAAGCTTATCTTTAATAGAATATTAATTAACAAGTATAGACATATTTTAAAAGTATTCTCTCACAAAATACTTATTAATTACTTAAGAAATATATTGATTATACATATTGGTGTAGTTTACCTCATTGTAGAAAACCTGGCAGATATCTTACTGAGGGATAAAAGCTGACTTTCCCAATTATGTTGTATGTCTTCTGATATAATGTACTGAAGAAAGCACACAACATTTGTATAAATGACAAGGAAACATTAGACAAACCTCAACTGGGTTTGTCTAATGTTATACATTATACAAAGAAGCTGGCCTGGGTACTTGAAAACAAAAATCTAGGTTGTGAAAGAAAGGCTATGTGGGAATGGCTAACAGACCAGGGTGAGTGTCCTAAGATTTAAAAATAAAATAAAGATATTGTGTCCACCTAAAACTAAAAAATAAATATAAAAAAGGGCACAAGACTCTTGGGTTAGAGATGAAGGAAAATTTATCATTCACAGTAATAGTAGTAGCCATAATATCAGCATTTCCTGATAATCAGGAAATGTTGAATCCTATAGGATGTCATAGTGAGGGCCAGATGATGCGTGAACATATAAGTGGGCTGTTAAGTTTAAGAAAATCCCAATATTTCATAATGGTTACCAGAAAACTTTTCAACCTCTGTTCTAGAAGGAGGCATTGTCTTTATTATTAGACAAAAGTCCCTCTACTCAGGAAATAGACATTGTTTCTATTTTCCAAGGATGTTTGCTCTACAAACAATTATGAGAAGATAGTATGAAACAAAGGCCATCAGTGCTTCTGTTAATAAGACAGGCAGAAACTGAGTCATCCCTGGAGAATTGCTTCCTAATAACTTTCATCCTTTTTCTTCATACCATCTTTACTTGGGGCAAATTTTATTGTTGAGTATAATATTCCATCAACCAATCTGATTGAGGCTACCATCAACAGGACTTCAAGCAACAGGAATCCTGCACTACTGGCCTCAAAACCATCTGCCTCCCTGTCCAGGCTCCTGGCTCAAAGTAGTTGTACAAATGCCCCAAACCATTAGGATCTACCTTATAAAGTCAAGTGACTTTCTCTTTGGGTTTCTATATTCACCTTTCCACTTTGCACATGATGTTAATCTAGATTTGGCAGAATGTATTTATTAGTGATTGTACAGACTCTTCCTTGATCTGAAAAGAGAAAGTTCTTCATCCATAACAATTATGGCCAGTGAACTAAGTCTGACCTGAATGCTTCTGAGGACCAAGGAGGTATCATTTATGACTTTATTAAAGTAGGGGTAAATCTTGCAACATCTTTTCTAATTGGATGAGTGGCACTGTAGGAAAAACTTTTGGCAGGGTGTATATAAGTAATGAGTCACTTATGTCTCTGGGAAGCTTCTCCAAGTAACCAAAGATAGTCTCCTTTTTAAAACAGATCTCCACCATGGTCTGAGTCATACATGATCTGCTCGTTGTGTTTGTTTGAACAGTTACATATCTCTCATGACCACTCCTAGGAGATAACTCACCATGTTTCTGGGCGAGAAGTACGTTAATGCTTGCTTCTACTTAACTGGTGCGGCCTTGGGATTGCACAGGGTACCCCTAGAAAGACCAGGGTTGTTGATAATTTGTTGAGAGCTACAGCCAAAGGGGCCCCAGCAAACTTCCAGCTGCCAGCAAACTTCCAGCTGCCAGCTGATGATTGGCTCACAG